TCACAGGGCTTTTGTTTAGTCAGCACCATTGACTGTATATAAAAGATGGATAATGTCACTGCTTCTCTCCACTATGCAAAAGTGAAGCCAAAAGGTTGTCAATATGACAGCTGCCATCTTGGCATTTTGCAGCCAGATTATGCGCAGTAGCGACAGAGTAGTTGAGTGACATATCACCAGTCAAAGCTGTCAAATCATCTGAAACCTTCACCCTTCTTTTATCATCAAATAACGTAATAAAAACAAATTTACCAGGACCACTTGTATCCACTTCAGCATGAAATGTTCTACCAAATATGACAGAAATCACCTCTGGGAAAAGTTTATTTGATTTGTACTTTGGTTTTTTAAGTTGGCTCATGTCTCGTCTGCGAACCTATAGGGGGCTGGATTTTAAAATAAGGATTTAGGTTAAATTCTAACGCACAACTATTTCTACGTAACCTCTTATCTGGGGAATTAATTCATTTTACCATAGAAACCAATGTGCAGGAAGCTACCCTGACTATAAAGTCATCTTTAAATGCACAGACTGATATTAAGGAAACATTCAGTGTCATAATCATCAGAGAAAAGAGAAATACAAACATCCACATCCCCAGTAACCTCAGTATGTCAGTATGGAGCACATCAAGCCATGATGTGTTTGACAGCTCTAAACTGCACAGAAACATGTGCTTAGCTCATGCTCTTGCTGTGCTGCTATTCCCATCTGTTGCTGAGTAATCACAGTGTTTATTTGTCCAAATACTCACCTACTGAGAGCCATGGGCCCACACCTGTAGGCATTACTGTATGGCCTCCTTGGAAAAGTAGACCATTATATAAAATGCAAATGCACCAGAAAACTTTTGTACAAAATGGATACCACAGCTTATTGTATTTGACAAATGAGAGTATCCAAAGGGGTATTTCCCCCTCTTTTCACGTGTGGACTCTTGGGATTTGGTAGCTCACCCAGTCCTGTCTGTGCTGGTGTATATCAATGTCCTCCGGCTGCCGGTGTTGAGGATCTTTTATATCATTACACTCGGCTGTTAGCCAGAGGTTTTAATATTGGCTCCAATGCCACTTATGATGGAAGAGATTATTGTTTGGCTAATGACTTTATGGCAAGAGAGGGACCCTGTAATTTCTTTCGCTGCCATGAATAACAGAATGATCCACAGCTGAGGTCTACGGGAGCTCTTACTGTAGTTGGTGGTCTCTCATTACGTCACACCACAGACCCGTGCAGATGTCCTATTATGCAGTAATAGTCCCTTCCCCTGCTCAATGACTTCCCCTTGGCTAAGCTATAATCACTAATGCCTTCTCAGACTGAGCTGCAGCACTGACATTTTTTCACATAAAATGTCATTTTACTATAGTGAATAGGGGAAATACTGTAAATGTGTGATGTAAACAGATGATAGAAGTAGACATGCTAACTACTACTCAAGGCCTGTATCCACCTCAACATCAGGCCTTTAGTAGAGGGAGACATGAATTCTTGTGCCTGGTCCATGATACATGCAGTACTATGCTTTAATCAGGTAGAATTTACTATGTTGTATATTAAATAACTCTACAGGGCAGTAAAGATTGTCAGCATGTCTTCCACATGGGTCATCACCAGGTGAGGTTATTAGTTTTTTTGCCTTCGACATGCAGCTTTAGCCAATGTATATGAATACTATCATGTATCAAGCCATCAAATGTATGTTTAAGACTCTTTTAGGAGGGATTTCTTTAACCACAAAAAAACAAAAAAAGGCAGTTAAGAACCTTAAAAAGTCAGTTTGAGAAAGCATTGTCAACCGGATCATAACGCTAACATTAGCCTGATTAGCTAGCCAGCTACAGCTCAAAATCTGCCATCTTCAGTTGTCATTTCAGCTGACAAGAGCCAGGAGGTAGTCCTGCAACTGTGTCTAAAATCTATCTAAAATCAGTGACCCATTACATTTGGAGTGGTAAATGCGCCGCCATAGTTACTGTGAGCTGCATTACCTTTTGTGTGAGAACGGAGAGGATAGTCAGTTTTCAGTTTTTTTATTATCTTCCTTCTGACTATTTTTTCCTTTGTGAATTCCAAAGCTTCCAAACTTTATCCATTTAAGTGAGGCACTATTTGGTGCATTATAAAATGCTTTTGTTGTTGTGTGGTACCAGTGGCACAGGCACCAGCAGAAAGGTGCTGAGGGTTTGAGTTCCTGCTCCACCTGACAAGCTCAGCAGCTTAAAAATGCACTTGTAATGAGGAAAAGAAATATTAATTATTTCTGTTGACACCTCATATTAAATGGTACCACTGCACACTGTCCTACTGGCCAGTGGGTAGGTGACTGATTTTAATTGAAATAGAAAGATATTTCATTTGCTCCTATGCATGTTCCAGTGAAACAGTTAAGCAGGAAAACCCCTTACACAGTCCAAATGCCTTTCTTTACCCATAAACCCATTAACCAGCAAACAGCAGAATGAGTGGAGGCGTTGGCTTTCAATTCTGTGGCTTTCCCTCTGCCTGTGTATTCAGTTGTTCAGTCTGTCGGGCTCTCTCCCAGACTCAGGCCATCAGAAAGTCTGTTTAAGAAAGATGGAAACACACCCACCAGCTAGAGATAACATGTCTTTGTGTTGCCTGTCTCTCTTCATAGAGGCTATATGTGTGTCTGAGAGTAAGAAGAGAACCATACCTGTGAGAATACCAGCACCATCCTGTGGTAAAGAAGCATAGCTGCATTACTTCCTTTCCAAAATACTAGCAGTTTACATAAGCTCCAGTGGTGCAATCGCTCAGCGTGTCGTGCTTATAAGACAGTAGTCAGCTGAGTGATGCTGAGGTTGTGAGTTCAAACCTCACGTGGAGCAGCACTGTTTTAACCTGGGCTCTCAATCAAAGGAACTGGCACAGCAGCAGAAATGGTTAAGCTGTGGCATTCCTCAGCATGAATAAATTGAGTGTCCAGGTGTTTTATACTGAGCTAAGATATATTTGCATTAAGCTACATTTGCTTCTTGTGAAATGATGATCTTTCTTTAAATAAAAACTTTGTGTAGATCTCCCATCTGGATGTTTTTATTGAATCACGGCCTATTTGGCTCCATTAAAATCTAATTTATCCATCATCATAAATTACACAAGCACTCAAGCGGTGGAGATATTCAAGCATATGTCTCCATGGGGAGACAGAGACAAAGCTGTTGGCAGTTGGAATTGTTTTCTGCTCTTGTGTGTATGGGCATATTTAGATTGGCTTGTTTTTTGTGTTGTCCAGCTGGCAGGTGTTGGGTGGGGGGGCAGCGAGCATGGCTGAGCGGGGCAGCAGGGACAACAGCCTGCAGAGGAAGAAGCCACCGTGGCTCAAAGTGGACATCCCTACCATCCAGCTGACACCGGACATCACGCCAACAGTCACCCAGGTGAGCACAACAATCAAGTCATGGACACAACAATAGAAATATGTTCTAAACAGTGTTGTCTAAAAGACTAGATGAACCACTAGAAGACAATTATTCTTGAAAAATTATCTGTGGACCTAGAGATGATTTTTTGTTGTGATTGTATACACACATGAGGAGTAATATTATTATGCTGTATTACTGTCATTTTTAGATGTTCACACAGAAGGTGGCTGCCTCACTTGTTTGTGTTTGTGTATATATTGCAGCCAGTAAAGCGCCTGCGTAGTGTTAGCATGCCAGGGGAAAACCCTCAGACCTACATTGCTGCCTTGGAAACTTCCAACACCTGTCTCAGGCCTCCTCAGGAGAGACTGCCCTCCATCACTCAGTCCATCAAGAGGTTAGACACACATAAACAGAGACACATTAATAAGAGGTTCTCTTTTCCTTTGTACTAATTTTCTTCAGCTGCTAATTTCCCATGACTTCAGCATGTATTGTTTTAATAATCCTTCTGCAATTAATAAGTCTTTAACAAAACTAATTTAAGCTGTAGGCTCTTTTCTGATTTAACACCAAATAATCTCCCTCTCTTTTCCTCTCTCTTGTCCTCATTTTTCTTTGATTTTTGCCTTATTTAAATCTGCTTTTCCCTCACTGGCTCCCCGTCTTCTTGTCTTCTTGCCGCGATGTGTGTAAAGTGACAAAAGGGTACGCTTTGAGCGTGTCAACACAGTTCCCCCAAAGGGCCAGAGGGGACCCAGGAGGGTGTCGTCAGTACGAAGGTGGTCCTGCAGCCCCAAAATACTGACTCCACAGCGTTCATCTATTCCCAGACAGATCATCAGGTACAGGAGTGTTGATGTAGAGAGGGGGGTGGGTAAGTGGGGGTAGCAGTTTGAAGGTGTCTTACTTCTCCACTGAAGTTTAAGATGATTTTTCCAACCTTAAATTAGGTAAAAAGGGAAAACTGGATGTTCAGGCATTAGAATAAATATATTCCAACCATTATGACGCAACTACTATATATTAGAAAATCAGTGAGCTAATTGATTAATACTCCAATGTATACATAGACTACTGAATATATATGCACACTATTTTATGGAGACACAAAAACTGACACACAAAATGGATACTGTATCCAGTCAGCTGTATAATAGGCATCTGTGGTCATGGAATATGGTGAAATCTTTGCTCCAAAAAAAAAAGGAAAAGCAGTGAGCAACCAAAAATGTTAACATGGGCTGGAAATGTGGTCTTAAGCAGCTTAAAAGGACCATAGGACAACCCCGATTCTAAGATGATTCCCCTTTCCCAACATCTGTATATGAAAAAAAGTCTTTTTTGAGGATAGGAAGAACTTTGACGCTAGCCCTCTTAGGAAAGTTTCCACAATATACCTAAATACAACCAAAATTGTCTGAAATATGATAATACATCAAACCACATGTGTGTATTTTGAGTATCATTCCGTAACAGATTTGCACTCTGTCGTACGTATCAAAGTGTTCAGTGTAATTTATTCAACGTTTAGCATTTTTCAAACTATTTAAGCTCTTTTTGACTCCTTATCCATAATGACAGCTCTAATTCTTGCGGCACAGATTATCACTCTGGTTCATTTCTGTAGCGTATTGTCATGTCCCGTGAGCTAAGTGTATCTGTCACGCCCATACTGTCACAGTGTTGCTGGTAATGATAGCTGTTGAAATTGAAATTCTTACGCTCACATGGGCGTCTTTTAACCGCTGACCTGAGTTTCTTTGCTGCAAAACAAGGTGGGGTTCAAACAGCGGGCTATGTTTTGCAGAAACTAAACCTTTGTGGTGCTCCTGTATGTGCGTATGTGTGTTTGTATGTGTCATGTTCAGGCATGTCCCAGTGCCCTCCCACCTTCCCTCCTCCCTCCTAGTATTCATAATGTCCAATCTTCCATCTCTCCCTCCTTCTAATCTCCCATTTCCTGTGGAGTGTTGGTATGTTTGAGGGAGAACTGGTGTTTACATACAGTCTTGCAAAATGACTCAGAGAGAGAGAGAAGGATCTCACTGATAGTGATCGTTGAAGGCTTTAGCCGGGAAGAACATTCAGCTGCTGTCTGCTGTCATCTTTGCCCTGTAGGTCACAACCTATGAAGAGGGATACTGGGAATTCTGCCAGCCACTGACACATTCACACACATTCTCACACATACATTCATATGGAAACTTCCGTTGTGTGTTGGTCACACAAGGTCAGAAGATGTAAGATCCTCCCGCTGACTGTACGCTGAATGAGAGGGCTCAGCTTGAAGAAGGCTGGAAGTCCTCTGTGGATCTCTTTGTATCACGACAGTCACTCTAGAGATTCCCTTCTGACCAACACTGAGTTTTACAAGGTGTCACTGGCCTGGACATCAGGAAATCCCCTTTATGGAACACGATATGTGTGATCTGTGGATGATCAGTTTGTGCTCAGTGGATACGTTTTTAATAACTCTCGGGGGGAAGCGCGGGTAGTACGTTAGTGATGCTGCTGACGGAGGCAACTCAACTCCCAAGTGGTAACCTCCCTCAGGTATGACCCAGATCCTGAACCCCTCCTGGAGGTCTCTGGACAGGTGAGTGTGCCATGGTTTTGCTGAATGAGGCAAATCAGAGCAGAAGATAATGAACAAAAGTGTTGATCTGACATGATGGCTAACACATAGAAATGCTGAAAAAAGCCTTTGTTGATGTGTTTCTTTCCTTGTAAAGTGATTGTGTTTTTCCAACTAAAATATAGAATTTAACTGAGCTTAGCAACTATATATAAAATTACTTTTATATTTTGGGTTTTGTTGAACTGAACATCCACATCTACAATATGCATATAATACCGCTAAGCTCTCTTTTTTAGCAGAAAAAAATCTTCTGAGCCTTTAAAAGAGTAGTTCAGCTTTTTGGGAAACATGTCTATCAGATTTCTTACTACTTCCATATCTGTATGTTTAATATGAAGCTAGATGGTTTGTTTAGTTTAGCAATAAAGCTGGAAAAAACTACTCTGGCTCTGGCAAAAGGTGTTTTTGCACCTTGGTTTTAAAAAAAATGAAGATTAAACAAATAAAATATAACATTATATAATGTTATTATACTAATATTTAGTGAGCTTTGGAGGTGCTGCTAATGATTTTGTTACCCTTTAGGGCAACAACCAGGCTGGTTTCTCTTTTTTCAGTGTTGTGCTAAGCTAAGATATTTATTGTACTCAAATGATAGTGATATCAGTCTTCTCATTTAAAGTTTGAAAGCTGAATTTCCAACTATTTCAGACTACTTCTTTAAATAAAAATACCAATACTACAGAGTGAAAGCATAAAAGTCCTGAGTTTTACAACTTCTCTCAAATAAAAGCAGGTAACGGTATATAGCATCAACATGTGCTTAAAGTATCAAATGTAAAAGCACTTATGTAGCAGTATGGCCCCTGTCATTGTCACGTGTACAATACACTGTTGGCTAGTAGGTGAATGGATATGAATTTGTATTGTATAAGCTCAATATATGTGAAGTATCTGAAAGTGCAAAGTATCTAGGAGCTGTAGCATTGAGGTGAATGAGCACTGATAGTTGTCTTCTCTGTTTGTTCTACTCTATTTGATCAGCGGTGGCAGTTGTTTAGATTTTCCTGTAATACTTGCCTACTAGTCTTTTCTCCTTGATGAAATGAATGCTGTCTAAGCTGATAATTACTGTGCAGTAGGTTGCTGCCACACGTGTACCAGCCTTACCTGGAGGATATGAAAGCTAATGCGTGTGGCTTAACAGCCCTTTAAACTTTGACGTGTGATGGATTTGTGCTGTCCTCAAGAAGTCATAAATATTTTATTTATGATTAGGTGTGGGTATGACTGTGTACTTGTTGGTACATGTGTGCGCATAGACACATACTCCCTTATCTAAACTGAGTTGAGTTTGTGTTACCATCCATACTGTAGGTGTTTAGTCAGTCTTGAATGCTATCTTTTTGTTATTTTTATTCAATTAGCTTCATATTATGGCCTCTCCTCCTTCTGAATCTTTCTGTCTCTTTTCTATTTGTTTATATCTCCTTTCCTGCTCTGCTTTTTCAAACCTGTGTCTTTCTCTGGTATTTCTCTCTGGAAGGACAGCAATCAGGGCCATGCCGCCCCCTCGCCACTCCTGCACCGCCTTAAAAGGCTTCCCCAGCTGGTGTCTTTCTTGATCATGAGGGCTGAGTGTTTATTACTGAGTGTTTTGCTCTTTAAACAGTTTTTCCCGACATGGCCTCCCCCGTCCTGATCAGCCTGGCACGCAGGCACTGGAAAAAGGGACTTGGGAGCACACACTGAATGCTCATTTACAAACATATGCAGCCAAGTCAGGTCATCAACTGAAGGACTATCGGTAACATCTGCTTCTTTGCCGGTGACAGAACAGAACAGAAGGCTGTAGGTCATGATAGGAAAAACGCAGCATTTTCAATCAGACATGTACACATACACACAGGAACAAAGATAGAGCAGAGTAAACATAGAAGCTGAAAGGGTTTTTTAAATGTGAAATGGTATATTGTGACACGTTTCATAAGAAAGGTTTAATCAGTTGACCTCAATCTGTATAAATCCTGACACATATATCATTTTGATTACTAATTATATCTTCATCCAGAAAGTTTAAGTTGTTTTGGTAAATGTTCTTTTTGTTGCAGCTAGATTTTCATTAATGCTCCAAGTAGTCTTTGTTTTTAACAAAAATAAGCAGCTCAAATGGGTCAAACATTTTTGAATTTTAAATTATATTTTATTAAGAACACATGTATTTTTGGCTTTCTATTGAGTATTTACAATACCAAAGAAAAATCATGCTGCTTCGTAATTAAAGACTACAATACCAGATGTTTTATTTCTTTTTAGATCTAGTTTTCCCATCAAGAGTAGAAGCAAGAAAGCAATCAACAAATGTCCCAAAAACCAGTCAACTTACCCCCAACAAGCAGCTGCAGTCAGTCAACTAATCAGCGGATTGTTCTGCTAAGCAGGAGGGATGTATAGTTTGGTCGCTGAAGGAATATTCAGTGTGTGATTACATTTTCTGAAGACTATTATTTTAATTTTCATCCTGTTGTTATGACTTGTAGATGTAATTAGATGCTAGCTAACAAGATATAACTAGATGAAGCAGTGTTGTTGCATGGTGACATTAGCATTTAGCTGAAAGCAGTGTGCCTAAATACAGTCTCAGAGCAACTGGCATGACTGTTGACATTTAGTCTTGTACACAAAAGTTATAGTTCTAACTGGGTGCTGGACTTCCTAACAGGGAGGCCACAAAATGTGCGGGTCAGCAGCAACATCTCCAAGACCATCACGCTGAGCACAGGGGCTCTGCAGGGGTGTGCGCTCAGCCCATTGCTCTTCATGCTGCTGACCCACGTCTGTGTGCCAACCTACAGCACCAACCGCATTGTCAAGTTTGCGGATGACACGACTGTAGCTGGCCTCATTACCAACAATGATGAGGCCAACTACGGTAGTGAGGTGTGCCAACTGGTCCAGTGGTGTAAGGACAACAACCTCTTCTTCAATGTGGGGAAGGGTAAAGAGATTGTTGTGGACTTCAGGAGAAAACCTCTAAAGTATCCACCACTGACCATCGACGGTGCTGTAGAAGAGAGGGTGAACAGCACCAAGTTCCTGGGGGTGCACATCTCTGAAGACCTCTCTTGGACCAACACCACCACATCACTGGCCAAGAAAGCTCAAACACGCCTCTACTTCCTCTGCAAACTGAGGAGAGCCAGTGTCCCACCCCCAGACTACCTCTGCTGTTTGCACAAACCCAATACATTCCCCCTTCTTGTTATATTATATGTAAATCTCCTGCTGTTGGTCATTTGCACTACTGTCCATGTGCATCTCATAAGCTATTATGCACCTCATCACCAGCACCCCTGGTGATGCTGACCGTCTGCCAATCTTCTGGTTATTATTTGCACTACTGTCACTGACTGTACATGGTTTTTGAGTCATAGCCTATTAGGTTGTACTGTTTAGTTTTATCCTAATTACTTGCTCCATGTACTAAGCTCCATGTCCTATTATGATAGTTTCAGGCTTTGAACAAAATAATAATATGAGGCAAAACCTTCACTTCACTTTTATTGTAAATTGCTAGAGTACCTGTTTCTTGTACTCTGTCATGTCCTAAATCAAACAAACAGAATATTCTGTTTTCACTTGTTTACTAACCAGAGTCCGTCCTCTCTCCAGGGGTACAGCTGACTGGTTCGGGGTGAGCAAGGACAGTGACAGCACCCAGCGATGGAGGAAGAAGAGCCTGCAGCACTGCAGCCATCTTTATGGCGGTCTCAAGGCACAGGTGATGAGGGAGATGGAGCTGCAGAGCCAAGACAACATTTCCTTGGCCAGCACTGAGACCCCTCCTCCTCTGTACCTCCCACCCCACCACCCCAGTCACCGCCACCACAACATGCAGAGGGTAGGCCAGTGTCATGAGGGATGGATGGAGGAAGAGATGGGGTGATTATTCACCTTGTCCTCCGTCACATTTTTCCCTCATTCTTTTGCACTGTATTCTTTTGATTGGAGATTTTCAGGTGCTTGCTTTACCTCTTTGCTTTATCATCGTGCCCAGGGTTCGACTGGAGATTTATCTTTAAATATTCCATGTCAGAAGTTTCTAATTTATTCAATATCTGCCCAGTGAAAGTCAGTGTTACTAGACGGTCATTACAACCACTCCTATACTGTTAGGATAATGAGAGTAATAAGCAATAATAGTATCAATGTGTAATTCTTTCTGCAATCTGATTCAAATATTACATTAAAATCAGTTTTGGTCACTGCATTTCTGATTAGTATATGAAAGGTACAGTATGTAAGTAAGAAAACTGCACCCTCTCAGTAATTTCATGTGAGCAACTCTCACCAGTTTGTTTGGGTGATAAATATCAACACAACATGACACGAACTGGAGTGTATTGCCTCTTGTCATTTTTTATTGAGAGGTACCTTAAGTGGGGCATGATTTTGAGGTGTTTTAATATGTATTACAATAATTCAGCAACACTGTATAGTAACAACTTCCCAAATTGTTTCTATAAAACAAAAGGTTTTACAAGACAGCTTGTTTACTTAGCTTAGTTAGTAGTGTTTTGTTTTGTGCTGAGATATGATCTAATAGTAACTGGCAGCTCAAACTGATTCTAACACACTGGACATTTGAAATGCTGATTTGTTAAAGGTTTTTTTCTTTTTTCTATAAATTCTCTTTTAGCTTATCACATGCTAGCATAGGCCTTATATGCAAGCAGCAAATAGTGTGCCTCCCTGCTGTTCCTGCTGTACGCTTTCACTGTCTGTGTAGTTGTATGTGGCTTGAGTATGAATAGTACTGTGTGTGTTTGCGTGTGTGTGCAGATTGTAGACCCCCTGGCTCGGGGTCGTGCCTTCCGCATGGTGGATGAGGTAGACGGCTTCAGTGTCCCGCAAACTCCCATCACGCCAGGCACCGCTTCCCTCTGCTCCTTTTCCAGCTCCCGCTCCGCCCTTAACCGGTTGCCTCGACGACGCAAACGAGAGTCTGTCGCAGTTATGAGTCTCAAGGCTGCAGCAGCACTAATGAAGGTGCTTGTGGATTTTGGTTTATACAGTGGAATTTATTTTCAAAAAATATTCAATAAAGAAATAATCTGTGCGTTGCAAAATCTGCTTCAGACTTCAGACAAGCTACTGCCTCTATAACTGTTCCTCAGTAATACTACTGAATGGTTGCACTACAAAGCCATTTGTACTTCATTATGGAGGAGATCACTATCTTCACTCTGTAACAGATTGTGGTCTTTTTCTCTACAAAGGAGATTGAGCTCTGGATATATGAATGCTTCACATTTTTTGGCTTCAAACAGCTAGGAGCATAGCCCGCCTCTAATTTACATACTTAAAACTGTGAGTTTTCATGCACATGCACTTTTATCTCCATTATATTGTGTTTTTGTGAATCAAGTCTAGAAAAATCTGTTGCAGTCTGTTTCCCTGTTTTCTGCACTTGTGGATGTATGGGTTTCAGTTGATCTGCATACTTAGATCCATGTCTGTGTATTCATGTGTCTGTAGGCATATTATGTAAAACATGAGATCCGCTTATTTTGGATGAGATGCTTATATACTGATGTTACAGTAGAGGATAGATGGCTGTTTATGCAATCCACAGGCTATACATACACATATAAAGGGATGAATGCATGTTCACTGAGAGTATCTACTATGTGTGGAGCAGTGAGGGTGTCACCAGCAGATGATGCATGATGATGATGATGTTTCGGTGTCTTTTCCTGTTGGTTAGGGCCAGACGTTAGGCGATAGCACCACTGGGCGACATCGCAGACGGAGTTTCATCCCTCCTAGTTTCTTTGAAGATGACACTGTGGACTTCGCTGATGAGCTGGACACATCCTTCTTCACCAGAGTGAGCAATGGACACATTTCCACACACTGCCAGGCCAACTCTTCTTTTATTCTCACTTGAATTAACAATAGTAATTTTCTTTTACTGTATGTTGTGTTGCTGTCAGAATTCAGGTATAGAAATGTATAAAACTAATGCAAACCTAAATCACAACATGTTTTTACAGTGAAGCTTTTCAGCTCAATCCAAAGGCAAAATTAACAAGATGATTAGCTTATTGATTGATTCTAAACACCTTGTTCTTACAGTACCATACATACTATATAAGTATTGGTTCTTGTCATGCCTTTGCCCTCCTGTTTCAAACAGAATGTATTCTGAGTATTTCAGCTGTAAATTCCTACTTACTTAGATGTCATCTTTCTAGGATGGCCTGCAGGATGACTCGTCCAGCTACATGGATGAGGTTTTCGAGACACCGTCAGAGGCTGCCCTCAAACAGCTGGATGAGAGTGAGCTCACAGGAAGTGCGCTGGATAAGAATGCACTGGAGAGGAGTCACCTCTTGCTGTGGGTTTCTATTTTTTGACAGTGTTTTTCATATGTGCATATGAACCTCTGCTGCATGTGAGATGAGACTGTCAACACAACTTTCACAGTACTGAAGACATTGTCTTATGTACTGTATTTTAATTTCAAGCCCTGACTATAAAAATTCTCCATCTAAAATGCTAGTTTTGTTTCCTCTGCTTTTTTGTTGTTCTCCCTCCATCCAGGCCTTTGGAGCGAGGATGGCGGAAGGCGAAAGACGGCTCTCTGGTCCAGCCTAAAGTCCGACTGAAACAGGAGGTGGTGAGCATCAGTGGCCATCAGCAGCGGGGACAAAGGATTGCTGTTCCTATTAAGAAGCTGTTTGCCCGAGAAAAGAGGCCATATGGACTTGGCATGGTCGGCCGTCTCACAAACAGGACGTACCGCAAGCGCATTGACAGCTTTGTCAAAAGGCAGATTGAGGACATGGATGATCACAGGTATTATAACTGATTCTGTTTTTCCTTGGAGGATAACTGTCCTCAGCCAGCAGAGCCTGAAATTGTCCTCCTCTCCTGTTTAGGCCTTTTTTTACTTACTGGATCACATTTGTCCATTTGCTTATCACCATTCTGGTTGTCACTATCTATGGCATTGCCCCTGTGGGCTTCTCACAACGTGAAACAGTTGATTCTGTAAGTATGTTTTACGCTTTATAATCTTTAGATTGGTCTGTGGTTGAATTTATGTTGATTTTCCGCTGAAAATGGATGGAGTGATACTAGTAATGCTTTTTTTAAGGTGTTGAGGAACAAAGGAGTTAATGAAAATGTTAAGTTTGTGCAACAAGAAAACTTCTGGGTGGGACCAAGCTCAGTAAGTATTTTTCTGTTTTCCATTTACAACCGTCTATCTATGACTGTGCTTTACTTGGTTGTTAAGTATGGTCAAAATGGGAATACTTCAATCTGTAGTGGTCTAGCTAATATTAAAATAAACACTAAAATTCAAACATTAACAACTGATAAAAGTAACAGATATAAGGTCAGGTACAAAAAAGCTTGTGAACCACTGGTTTAGATCCACAGCCTCATCAAGCTGTAATGTCACCCCCACTGTCCTGCAGGAGGCACTAATCCATCTGGGAGCAAAGTTTTCCCCATGCATGCGACAAGACGAAGAAATCCACAAACTAATGCAGGAGAAGAGAGCAAGAGAGAGAGAGTCAGGCTGCTGTGTGCGCAACGACCGCTCCGGCTGCCTGCAGACTTTACAAGAGGAGTGTTCGGTCAGTAAAACCGGAGTGTTGAGTGCCATGCTGACAAAAGCACAGCACCTGACTGTGCAGTTTATTTGAAGAAGCCACTGTACAAACTAAAATATGTGTGCATAAAAAAAAGTGTAACTACTTGTGTTTGTGTTGTCCTGCAGAGTACCCTGGCAGTGTGGGTGAAGTGGCCTCAGCACCCTAGTGCCCCTTATCTCAATGGTGAACTGCGCCAACATGGCTCAGTCTGCCATCAGGACCCCAGGTAACAAAGAAGGATATCTGTTTGCATGATGTTTACCCTTGTGTTTTAATGGTATACCCACAGAACAGTAGTTTTCTATCATTAATGTAGCAGTCATAATTTAGGCAAGAGCAACAGCCTGCTGACACAGGTTTGTAAATATTTAACAGACACCACTTTCCTCTGTGTGTGGACTGTATTGTTGGCAGAGACCGATCTAGAAAATTTTGGATGGGTGGCCAATCAGATTCTGGGGGTGACCGGTGCCACCCCTTGGCTCCACCCATGATTGTTGGGGTTAAATTGATTTTATAGGAGACAGAAATATTCACTCTTTTTTTCTCTAACGTTTGCTCTTGCAGGATTTGCCTGGAGCCAGCCTCTGTTTCACCCCATGAGTGGCCTGATGACATCACCAAGTGGCCAGTGAGTACAATTACATTTACACTGTTAGGCTGCATATACACTACAGGCCTTGATGCACAATTCTGATTTTTTTTACTTTACGTGTTGACAGTTCATGTTCATGTTTGGAGGTGAGAACATCGTTTAGGTCTTAAACTGTCCTGCATGCATGTTTAACTGAAATGTGAGCCATGTGTATACAATAATAGCAACAGCATTATCATGAGCTAATTTATATTAGTCTAGACTCTAGATGATCTACTGGAGCAAAAATAATTTGTGATACAGGTTTCATTTCAATATATTGGTGTGAAGGAAGTGATTTATAAGCTCCAGTGGCGCAACCGGTCAGCGTGCAGTACTTATAAGACAGTAATCTGCAGAGTAATGCTGAGGTTGTGAGTTCGAGCCTCACCTGGAGCAGCATGGTTTGACTTTCTGCAAAACACCATATTTTCCTGTGGTTATAATCTGTAGGTTTGTACAAGGTACAACTCTGGGAATCACACCAACCTCCCCCACATAGACTGCACCATCACAGGCCGGCCCTGCTGCATTGGAACCAAAGGACGGTAAAGATCAATGGAACTGAACACCACAGGAGTCAGGGGAAGGGTTTGACTTGTCTTACCTTTAACCACCAGGGCTTAGCCAGCATAGATTTTGTACATCTGTTACCGGTAATTACCATTCTTGCAGATGTAGCAGTGTTAAATGTCTAAATGTCCCCGCCCCCTCGCTCAATGTCAGCTCAATTTGTATTTCAAAGGGTATGACACAGTGTGTACAGTTATACACCAGTGAAAATACTTAAACCGAGACAAATTAAATTCTCTTAGACCACACATGATAGAGAAAGTCCTAAATACATACTTTTTAAATAATTATTCATTTCTGAATTTTTGTTTTTCTGTGAGTTGTTGCTAATGAAGCTAACGATGTGTTTCATGTCACAGATGTGAAATCACTTCCAGAGAGTACTGTGACTTTATGCACGGCTACTTCCACGAGGAGGCTACTCTCTGCTCACAGGTAGGGCAAAGAGAGCACACAGATTGTTCTAACCTTACAGTATATGTTCTTCAAATCAGTCTGCCTACTGTACTTTTATTTATAATTCTATACACAAGTTGCTAATGCTAAAGTTTTTTCATCAAAGGGTATCTGTGAAGAATAGAGACAAAGTTAAAAGATGTAAACCTTAATTCAGTACAAGCCCAGTTGGACTATGTTTGGGTGACAAGCAACAGAGATGCATCACTAACTCAGTGACAGATTCTATTTCTCTTATTCATGTAGAATAATCTCACATTTAAAGCTTTTATATTGCTGTGCCACTTCCTCATACCACCAACAATTACAGCTTTACTGCTCCAGGTGAGGCTCAAACTCACAACCTCAGCATGACTCTGCAAGTTACTGTCTTATAAGTACTGTGCGCTGACCAACTGCATCACTGGAGCCTATAGAGATAGAATGAATTGAGAAAACTTTGGACTGATCTGATCTGTTGTTCTCCTGACTGTCTTCCTCTCCTCCACATGGTTTGCATGGATGATGTGTGTGGTTTGCTTAACTTACTCAGTCCAGGCCAGAGATCCCAGATTCCTTAAACTTTAAAATGCCGCTAACTTAGTTTTTTTGGCCTTCTATATATCACATCATCATTACAATCGGTCAGCGCACAGTACTTATAACACAGTAACTTGCTGAGGTTGTGAGTTCGAGCCTTCAGTCTAGCCAACAACAGCCAGCTAACAGTGCTACCATTGGCTCTTCACTTTGATCCAAGCACACAAGCAGATGTAGCTAGTTAGCCGGTTAGGAGCCTTGTTATGTTAAGACTTGTAAGCTGCAGAATTTTAGTTTCTGTGTAATGTGTTTGTTTACAGCAGCAGCCTGTAGTTGGTTGATTCAGAGTTTGTCTGGTTAAGACACACTTTAGACTCAGTTATAAATGATTTGAGAAGACTTTGGACTGTTCTGATCTGTTCTCCTGACTTTCTCCCTCTCCTACAGGTGGCTTGCATGGATGATGTGTGTGGTTTGCTTCCCTTCCTCAACCCAGAGATCCCAGACCAGTTTTCACGACTCTGGCTGTCTCTCTTTCTTCATGCTGGGTGACTGAACTGACTTCTTTTTTGTCGATCTCCGAATATATATTTACTAGCTATGAAAACTGTTTTCTGTGCCTAAATCACAAATCTGTTATCACAGTAAAATCTTAAATATCAGGTGGATTTGGGTCAACACTAAAAATGAGTTATCTGTCTGTCTGTAGGATCCTGCATTGCCTGGTGTCAGTGGTGTTCCAGATGTCGGTGCTGAGGGACATAGAGAAACTGGCTGGCTGGCTGAGAATCTCCATCATCTACATGCTAAGTGGCATCACTGGCAACTTGGCATCAGCCATCTTCCTGCCATACAGAGCGGAGGTGCAGTGGCTCCCTCAAAATAAAGCTATATTCAAGAAATGGCATCTTATAGAAGCATTTAATTAATCACTTAATCATTTATTATTAGTTTTTGGGTGTTATTTTAGTGCTGTGTTGCTCCAGTGGCGCAATCGGTCAGCGTGTGGTACTTATAAGACAGTGACCTGTAGAGCCATGCCGAGGTTGAGAGTTCAAGCCTGTGAATCTGTGTTGAGATTGTTTAGGCTCTAATTGATTAACTGGGTTGCTTTTATTACAAAATTTAAAGTAACACCAGAACTACTTTTCTGATGATTTGAAAGACATTAGACAGTCATGGATGTTAGTGACACTGTCTAACTTTTTCTCTGTGTAAACAACTCGCATCTTGTACTCTACTGTTTCCTTTTTTTAATCCCTCTCGCTCTCTCAGGTGGGTCCTGCAGGCAGCCAGTTTGGCATCCTGGCCTGTCTGTTTGTGGAGCTGTTTCAGAGCTGGCAGATCCTCGAGCGACCATGGCGGGCGTTTGCCAAGCTGCTGGCGATCTCAGTCTTCTTCTTCTCCTTCGGTTTGCTTCCTTGGATTGACAACTTTGCCCACATCTGTGGCTTTGTGTCAGGATTCTTTCTGTCCTTTGCCTTCCTGCCATACATCAGGTAGGTGAAGAGAGAGGATGCTTTTCGTTCTTGGGTGCTCTGAGATCACTTCAAGGAAAGCTCATAGCTGTGCCTTTTCTGTTTTTAGATAGTTACATAGAAAAAAATGAGCTAGACAATGAATCATGCCCTACAGCATATAGGCGTGTTCAACTGTCCAACTTGCTTTTTTAACTCCCTGGTGAAATGGATAACAGTTAATTTTTTTCTCTACAGCTTTGGCCGTTCCGATATGTATCGGAAGCGGGTCCAGATCTGTGTCTTCCTGATGGTCTTCCTAGGTCTGTTCTCTGCCTTGGCCGTTCTCTTCTATGTCTACCCCGTGAAGTGTGACTGGTGCGAGGACCTCACATGCATCCCGATCACAGACAAGTTCTGCGAGAAGTATGACCTGAACGCACACCTCCTCTGAACCTCAGCCTTTGAAATGTGAGCTGGATGTTCTCTGGATGTGCACAGAAGCTGGACTGGTCATGACATTTCTGTACATTGGATGCCAATGAAGCAAAAAAAAATGCATGTTTAGCTGCCATGCAACCTGTGAATGAGCAGGAACATTTATCCTGGAATAATAATCAATATTTCAGGATGTTATTTGGACCTGTTTACTGTATTTGTTGTACTGTACTGGAAAGATACAACAGACCCACTATGAATAAAGGCTATGCAGGAAAGCCTCACTGAAAATATTCACGTGCATGGGAACAAAACTTGACAAGGACCTGAAAAGGATTACCACTAGATTTATGTGACTGATCTCTAGCTGGACTAATCAATGACCAGTCGCACTGCAGGGGAGGTACAACTTTTTGTAACAACTATTTCCTGCCAAAAATTTAATTAGCCTCCTTTCTGTGGTGAAACTGACTAACAGCACCCATCAGTAGCCGAAAGGAACATTAACCCTGAGACGCTGCAATGGAGGAGTTGAGGGATTTTTGTAAATTTTTTATACATGTCCAACAGTTTTGTCCATTTACTTGATGTCCTTAGAGTTAAAACTCTCCACGAATTTAGACTGAAATGCTTAAACGTGCCTTGCTGACACACAACTACACACACACATTGGGTAAATCCCAAATCCCTTATTTGATTGTTCATCGATCCTTGCAACTCACTTAACCCCGAAATTGTTCTGGTCCACCATCTTGAAGGACGTTCCAAAACACTTATTCCTGCTCTGAGTATTGAGCAGTTGGAGGAGCTATGATGAGGATAAACAAGAGCATGCTTCACAGAAGTCTTTTATGGACTGATGCCCCTTTTATCTGAAGTCAGTTGGTGATTGAGAGCTTCAGATTAGGAATCAGAGGAAAGGACATCTCATGTCTGTATGAACGCGTTTCCTTGATTCCTCTCTCCTCGCATTTTGTTCTTGCATCTTTTCCTCACATCTTACATGGGTGGGACTAAGACACAAGGAAAAGATGCAAGTGAGGGAATCGCGTATTCAATTAAGGGAAGTGGGAATTACCTGTTGTCTTCTCATACCAAGAATTATGGGTCCTGTTTATTAACCTTTGTAGAAAGCTTTTCACAATTTGACAAAAATCATGTAAAATATGTTTGTACTGAAGTACCACTCTGGCAGCTTTAGTTTACACCACAGCCGTTTACAGTTGGATGGTTTTTTGGTATTCACCCTGTGTCACATCTGAAAAGAACACACTTATATGTTAATTTGCTCCATCATATAAGCTGTTATGAAGGGGAATTTGTGTTTTTTCTTTCATGTGGTAGCGTTTTAGCTACCATGCAATAAACAGTTTTTCATTTTTTATGTCTGTGTATTGCCTGCTCCCAGAAGATATGTCCAGAAATGGAACTGTTACTGCTCCAGAACTTGAACTCCAAACATCACATTGCAGGGTAATGTCTTATAAGGACCATGCACTGCTCACTGCCAAAGGAGCTTCTACAAAGTACTGAAATTGGTTTCTGAACTTTTCCAAAAGAGAGATTTCAGTTTTTGATTTTTAATGAAGTTACAAAACTTTCTTCTTCACTGTGACACTATGGGTTGATTGTAGATTGGAAGGCAAAAGGGCAATTTTATCTATTTAAAATGAAATTTACAACACTAAACCGTATTAAACAGGAAGTGGTCCAATACTTTCTTGAAGCCACTAAATTATGAATAATGAAAACCACCATCCACAATATAAGAAAAGGGAAGAGTCATCTAGGGATGACTAGATGCTTAAAACATCAATTGTATATACCCTAAAATAATAACTGTAGACTATACTGATTTAAGAGACAAAAAGTGAGTGTGTGTGTAACACCCCAGCCAGCTGTGGTCGATCTCTGTCACTTTGTTGTGCTACTAAACATCATTCTTGCTTTTGCTGGAGGTAACACAGATTTTAAACTTTAAAATGCATCTGAGTTAACTTAAATTTTCTGGCCTACTTCCCTCTAAACATCATGTCATCATCACAAGTAGCCAGTTGCTAAGCTCCAGTGGCGCAGTCGGTCAGCACGCATTTCTTATAAGACAGTGGTGATACTGTAGTTGTGAGTTTGAGCCTTTAAGTTCACATTTAACATTTTTATATTGTTGCTCCACTTCTTCATGCCACCAACAATTAAAGCTTCACTGCTCCAGGTGAGGTTCAAACTCACAACCTCAGCAGGTCACTACTGTCTTATAAGCACTGTGCGCTGACTGACTGCGCCACTGGAGCAATGCACCAGCAGTCATGTTGTACTCTAATACCAGGTGGGCTCAACTTGAATGATTGGCCCTGGATTGCCATCTGGTGGGCATTTTAAAACACAACAAGCTCAATTTATGAGATGCTCAATTTAACACTCTATACCTGTTGTTCTCACTGCAAAGCTGCTGATTAAAATCAGAAGCGCTCACATCCAAAACCAAATACATTAGCATTTTGTTTACACATTTGGCACGACACTGTAAGAAACATTTATGTCTGCTTGCTTGTTTGTAAGTTCGAGCCTCACCTGCAGCACTGAAGCTTTAATTGTTGATGGTGTGAGGAAGTGGCACAGCAATATAAAAGGTTTAAATGTGAGATTATTCTACATGAATAAGAGTAAATAGAATCTGTCACTGAGTTATAGTGATGCATCTCTGTTGCTTGTCACCCAAACATAGTCCAACTGGGCTTGTACTGAATTAAGGTTTACATCTTTTAACTCTGTCTCTATTCTTCACAGATACCCTTTGATGAAAAAACTTTAGCATTAGCAACTTGTGTATAGAATTATAAATAAAAGTACAGTAGGCAGACTGATTTGAAGAACATATACTGTAAGGTTAGAACAATCTGTATGCTCTCTTTGCCCTACCTGTGAGCAGAGAGTAGCCTCCTCGTGGAAGTAGCCGTGCATAAAGACACAGTACGCTCTGGAAGTGATTTCACATTTGTGACATTTACTGATGTGGTAAAGGGCCTTTATAAGCTCCAGTGGCGCAACCGGT